GGGAGAATTGCTTGAACCCAGGGATTAAAGACCAGCCTGAGCAACATAGCAAGACCCTCTTCTCTCTTCCAACCCACTAAATTAGCCAGGCAGATCACTTGAACCAAGGAGCTCAAGGTGACAGTGAGCTATGACAGCACCACTGCCCTTCAGTCTGGGAGACAGAGTGAAACACCTTGTGTGATAGTTTTATCTAGTTAGATTACTGGAATACCTGACTAAAAATGAACCAGATTCCACAAGAACTACATTAAGTACATATGGTAGGATATACAAGACAATGTCCATTTATTGTTGATGACTTTTGAGGAAGATCTGGCAATGGCAATGATATTTACTCCACAGAAGTTGACAATAACAACAATAGCTCTAACAGTCATCTGGAAATCCTAGTAAGTTATTTATCATCTACTAGGTGTCAGCCATTGTATTCATGATGTGGCTAATCCTCTTAACATTGAGGTAGGTTTATGTTACTCTTATTCTAGAAATGAGCAAGCAGGCTCTACACATTTAATGATTGACGCAGGCCAAGCAACCACGTGGGAATGCCCTTGTCCTGCCCACTTTCTCAAGTCCTACTTTCCCCACTACGGTCATGCTCCTGAAACCATCAATAGTGAGCCTGCACTAAAACTACAAGATTCCAGTCTGCTTAAGATTGTTCTACCATTTCAGCCGAGTCAGAAAGGTCACAGTGTTTCTAGGACACTGAAAATAAAAGAGGCAGCTAGTACTACAAACATTCACAAAATGTCATCAAACACACGACAGAAGGGAGAACGGTAAATAATGTCATGTCAGAAAAATTTAAGACTCATTTTTGTTTTAATCCTGTAGGGTCTTTTGTATCTTACTCTCACTCCTTATCTTTCAAACAAAACTCCACAATCTTCTGCTGGATGCCCTCCAACAAGAAAGAGTATCTTTTCATATACTGCTGATAAAAGTGTAAATCACTTAAAAGTTTTCTAGAGGATAATGTGGCAGTAACAAAAGTTTTTAACAACTGGCATACTCTATCCACTAGCAATTTCATTTCAAAGTATTCACTTTGGGGAAATAATTAAAAACACATAAAAGATTTAGCAACACAACATTTTTTAGCACTTTATTAATGAAAAGTTGGAAACCTAAAAATTCAACAGTAGTTTAATAAAACATGGCACATATGATAGAGTATCATGCAGCCATTAAAAAGATGTAGAAACCTGACACAGCAAGATAGTCATGGCATTGTCAAGTGAAAAAAAAGTTACAAAACAGTATGTATAGTTTGATCCCATTAAAAATCTATAAATGCACAGAAAAGTCTGGAAGGCCATATACCTAAATAACAGCGGTTCTATCTGGATGGTGGAACTACAAGTGATTTTTATCTTAACTGTAGTTTTATTGTTTTCTTTTTGCCAACATGGCTACGAGTCCTATTATAAAAAAGCATTAACAATTCTTAAAGTTTTCCTTGAAGTAGGAATGAGAGCAGAACTGAGTGACCTAAGAGGCACAGGGATGTGCACATTAGTCTGATACTGCTTTAACAGTTTGATCAGGGTGTCTGATGTTAACTGGTTGTCACCAATTAAAAGGCACTGTGCTGAGCGAAAACATGGGTGGAGGTAGTGCTTAGCCTTCTTTCCACCAAGGGATCCATTTCTAGAAACCCTCCACAGCTACCGAATACTGGTATTCTAAGCAATATTCCCTGTTAAGTGTATCCTTTTACCTTCACACCCACTAGTAACACAGATTAGAAGGTTCCCCTACACTGGAGAGCAATGTTGCTGGTAAGGGTTTCAAAAGGCAGAGAAAATTTTTCAAGTGGTGTCAGATAGTAGGCCTGAAGGTGAAATGCTAGTTCTCTTAGTTCTACTACTATGGTTTTCAAGTTTAAGAGTGCGAGTCACTCAAATGGCTTGTCCTAACAGACTGATGGGCCCCACTCCCAGAGTTTGATTCAGTCGGTCTTGGGGAAGGCTTGTGAATTTGTACTTTTTCTTTCATTCAACAAATATTTATTGAGTATATACTATGTGGTAGGTCTTGTGCTAAGAGTTAGGAATTTAACTCTGACCAAAAAAATCATAGTCCACGTCTCAGGGAGTCTGAATTCTAGAGTGACAGATATAAGACTAAACAAATAAATTATAAAAATAACTATTATATAAAATTACGATTAGTGCTAGAACATAATAAAGACCAGAAAACCCAGTTTGTCTTAAAATATTTAAAAAGGTGTCACATGGAAGACTAATTCCATAGGCCCTTGAAAACAAAAGTGCAAATGAAAGTAGAAAGCACTTAGTAAGAGTTTCTAGATGCTGATGCTGCCATCTGGGTCTCACACTTTGAGAACCCATGCTCTACTAAGCAGACTTTCTAATTAGTATAATATGGAAGAAAAGCCGGGTTGTTCCCAGCCTTTGAGACTCATTGTGAGGTAAGAGTGACTTCATCTTATCTGGAGAAGGGGCTGAGGCAAAGTTGGCTACAGGCCAAACTACGAAGCCATCTCTGTATTACCTCATCTCCTGCAATATGGATTTTTCTGATTAGCACCATAAAAAAAATTTTAACACGGTGACATTTTAGGTTAGGTTACCATAAGGATAAAGTTAGACATGATCCAATTATTTTCAGTTTGTAGAAGAGCCTACAATTATTTCCTAGGTTATTATTTTATTCATATGTGTATCCTTCACAGGTTACTATACTTTTAGATTAAGCTCAAGTGCACAGAACTTATTAAAGAATTCTGAATTGCACTAAGAATTAATAGGCTTCCTAAGCTTTCCTTCCTAAGGAAAGAAAGAACTTCATGGGCCTCTACCTGAGTAAAAACTAAGCATATGACTTTAAAATAAGCCAAAACCAAAACAAAACAAAAAAACCCACCAACCCAACAAAACCTCAAAAATCAAAATGTAACAAACATAAAAGCAAGCCTACACATTGTGATAGATTTATGGTAGACAAAGATATAAGAAGCCTTTGAAACTCAGCATTATTGAAGACTTCTGTAGATTACTGGGTTATTATAATCAACATTCATCTGATGGAAAACAAAGTTCTGATAATTTATCCTGCCGGTGGTGAGGTTAAACCTAGATTGGGGTCTGATTTAAAAAGAGGGTAGGGATAGGGATGGACAGGGAGTAAACAGAGTCCAAATATGAGGAGGTACCTCTGGTACATAGTCGTTTACAAGGCCCAGTTTTGGTAGCCAGGAAGCTACAGTGGTGCTCAGGTGAAGAAACTTGTATTTGCAGAATGTTTACTATATGCCAAACCTTCCCCTAAAAAGCATCTGCAATACAAGGTAACATTTGCTATATAACCCTACAACCAGCCTAAGGTAGAATAATTAATATTTTACTGGTAAGGAAATGGCAGTTAGATACATCTGAGGTGAAGCTTGAAGAGCCTTAGTATGCGAGGAAGACTGGATTTGAATCCAGGACTATTTTACTCCATTCTCTTTACCATTTATTATTGTATCTTCCCATAAACCCAATTTATAGTTGCTGTTTAAGATGACCTGAAATTTTGGTAAAATTTTTCAAAGCCTAAATCAGAATCAATGGTACACTAGGCTATAGAACTCCCTCTCTAAGGGGGCAAAGAAGTCCTATAGAACTTCTCTTGGCTCTATAAAAACTAACCAGCGTGAGCAGCTTTTGGAGTTAAGAATATGGCAATTCACAGTGAGAGTCTAAATGTCTCATACAACTACTACAACTGTAAAAGAATTTTTGTCTCATAGAACAGAAATAAAAGGGTAACAACTACAGTAAAGTTTGGGCTGTGAATTATTAATAAATTATTAACATATTAGGAATTCTTAACACAAAAGGATATTTTAAAATGTTTAAGTATTCATCTTTTATGTAAAGCACCAAAAATTTTTTTGATAAATTAACATTTCCTGAATAAATGCACTTCACTTTCGTACTTCATCCTCAGGCCAGAGCAAATTACTTTTAGTTGTCAGAATACACTATGCTGTCTTGTTACAAGCCTGGCAACATCTCTTTCCCTCTATCTGAACACTTATACCCCAAACCATCTCTCATTCCCCAAATCTGTTAGGTGACTGGCAAATGCAGTATCCTGTATTTCTTCTACGCTAGTACTGATCCTATAGGACAACTATTCCTTTATTTTTCTGTATCCTTTACTGGTCTTTAAGCTCCTGCAGTGGTAAGGACAATGGATATCTTGTTCAGGGAAAGTATCCACAGTCGGTTGGTATAGTACCTGGCCCTCAACAAATGTTTGCTGAATAAATGAGAATGAGAACAGAAGGCTTAAAATGAAAATAATCTGCCATTTTGCTGATAGATAGCAACGGCCCAAGTCGCAATTTTCTGGCTTCAAATGTATCACTAATCATTTCATTAATGTGTTTTATTAACCAGTGATCCTGACCAAGATATTTTATTAATAAGTTTAATATTTTAATAGTAAGCTCAGAGAAATGAAAAATTTAGTTTTTTATATAATTTACTTTATGATGAATGTAACTACATTAAGTCATATTTTTATATAGATTTGTTGTTAAGAACAATGCCTCTTTACTGAAGTATATTCTTAATGGATCTAATTCTGACTATGCATTAAATTGTGTCACTCAAATAATCTTAAAAACATATTTAGTGAACTGCATTTGTACCAGATGTTTTAGAACCTTAACTATAAATTTATCAGAGAAATACGGTAATGCTTTTCAAAATCTAGTTCTTCTTAAATTTAAAAGAAATCAGTAGTGTTTAAACAAACAAACAAAAAACCCAAAATAATTCATCAAAACATAGTAGTGAAATCATTTGATTTCTGTTGGAAAACAAGATAAACATGGGATTTCTGTTGATGGAAGAATTTAGAAAGTCTATTCTTCAAAAAGAGGTTTATATTCCTGTAGCTTTTAAACCAAAAGTTTAAAACAAATTTTAATTTTATTCTTTGGCTATTAATTATACCTAATAAATGAGTCACTGATATCAATTCGCAATAGATTTATTTTACATAAAAGAAAAAGCTTGCTGTTAATGAAAAATTCAGTAGAAAACAGTTCTTCTGCTTTAAGTCGAGGCTCAAAAGTAGAAGCTGCTTATTAGTGAAACTTCAGTAAAAAGAGAATTTCGTAAGAAAACATCCTTGGCATGAAAGCTCTAACAAATTCTGTAATGAAATATTTATCATGCAACTTTATTGGCAGAAAGGCCAATTTCTGATAGCTGGTATTTTTTTTTTCAGTCTTTTAAGACATTAACATGGAAGATACTTAAACCTGCTTTAGCGTTAACTGTATATAAATACAATGTCACGATGGGTAATCTTTCCACAGTTCACCTATTTAATTGAGCAGTTCTAAGTAGGTAATTGGCACCTTGCCCTTCTGATTTCCTCTTTCCCCCATTAGCCAGTCTGAATCCATTCCAATGACACTGAACACAGTGATCACCTACAAAATAAAATATTTCCAGTTGTTAACTACATTAAAAATAAACACAAAAAACAAATCAGATTTGCATTAATTAATAAATTACCAAAGAATTTTAAATATTAATTTTGCTGAAAGAGAAAAGATTTTATAGGAGGCAGTACTATACACCTTCAAATTTTTCACAGTTGTTTTAAATACCTCTGTGATATTCTATTATACTACTGCAATTAAAATTTTATAAAATGTTAATATACTCATCTGAACTCTATTATTCATGATAAACTAATGAAGAATTTGCATTTGTTATCTTAGAAGGTATGTCAGTTTGTGATATACTTTCTTCTCATACCCACATTACTCACCTCATCTGCCAGAAGTGATAATTCAGTACTGTTTGCAGCATCATAATCATAGAGAACTCTGGCCTTCCTGCTGCCACTATACTCCTTAACATCACTGAGGTTGGAAGGAGGAGAGGTGATTACTAGGCCACTTGTTGAAGCCATGGCAGAAGAACCAATCACATTTGGTAAAACAGATGGTGCAGGTGTCACAGAATTTTGATTGTTGTTACAAAGATAATTGGATGGAAAACTGTTGAAAAGAAAATCGCTAATTATTTACTTTGAAGTGATTAAAGTTCCTCAGTAACATCACTTAGTGGTACTGTTTACTTTTCACCAACCTCCATGCTAGAAAAAGATTTACAGGTGTTTATAATACTTTAATGACAAAGTGTGCCATCTTCCTTTCCCCCGTTGGCTCAATTATTAGAGACAATTCACCCAGTAATTGAATCTAAATCCTTGAAGACTATTTCAAAGCTGTTCTTAGAATAGTTAACTAAAATTTTAGAAAAGACATAATGGCTAACTTCAGAATTATTAGTATTTTCCTCTCTTTATGAATTGTTAAAAATATCAATAAAAACTCAGATGCTACTTCAAGAAAGAAACTTTCTCAAATTAATTCCTTAAGAAATATCAAAACAGGTCCACATTTTCCTATTCAATCAAATGGCAAAAATTTATTGAGTGTCTATATGTTCAGCACAAACACCACAGCAGAAGACATACAGGTGAAATGATGGCCAAACATGGTGATTCACACCTGTAATCCTAGTTCTCTGGGAGGCTGAGGCAGGAAGATCATGAGGTCAGGAATTTGAGACCAGCCTGAGCAAGATTATGACCCTGTCTCCACTACGAATAGAACAAATTAGCTGAGTGTGGTGGCGAGTGCCTCTAATCCCAGATACTCAGGCAGCTGAGGCAGGAGGATCACTTGAGCCTAGAAGTTTGAGGTTGCCGTGAGCTACAATGATGCCACTGCACTCTAGCTGGGGCAACAGAGGGTGACTCTGCCTCAAAACAATACAAAACCAAACAAAAGGCCATTTCCTTAAGATAGATGAGTCAAGAGATAAACATTCAAATAATAGGTTTGAAGGATAATTATCATAAGGAAAAAGAAGACTCAAGGGGAGAATGGGTCCAATTTCACCAGTTCATTTTATTCTATTTTTAGAAAAAAAAAACTTTTACTAGCCATCAGTGAATCTTGTGACCAATGTGAATAAACAATTTGAATGCATTTCCTAGTATCCCTTTCTCAGTGAACTTGGTTCCTCAGCATGATTAAATACGTAATTTCTGAATATAAAAAATAAGCTGTTTTAATTTAAATGTATGTACATACATGGCTTTTTTATACCATGGAATTTTATTTGTAAATTTACTAGGATAATTAGTCTTTGCTTAGCCACTAAAGTCTACCTAAGTCAGTTTTGTAAACACTTAAAAAAAAAATTGCAAGGCCATATTGATCTAAGAACTTTTATTGATACATTAAAAAAACTGTAGAAATTACTCATATTACAATGTCAAGCCACTGTAAGTTGATACGTAAAAGCCTTCCATTTATTAACATACATTCACTAATCTTGTCATGAGTAGTTTTTCCTCATTTTTAAAATCTGAATGATAATGATAATAATAATGCCTACCTCATTTAGTGGTGAGGACTATAAAGTTAGTCACACATGTGAGGTATCTGAGAGAGTGCCTGGGCACACCTTAAGCCAGGGGTCCTCAAACTTTTAAAACAGGGGGTCAGAGTCCACTGTTCCTCAGACTGTTGGAGGGCCAACTGTGGGCCCAGGGACGAGTCGGCTGCTAAGCAGGACAGGCAGCTGAAAAACACCCAGCGGGCCGGATAAATGTCTTCAGCGGGCCGCGTGTGGCCTGCGGGCCATAGTTTGAGGACGCCTGCCTTAAGCCTTGTAGAAGTGACGGCTGTTATTCCTTACTACTGCTACTTCTTGGTACTGTTACTATAACTATTAACAATACAACCTGGCTCTACTCTTCAAGATAAATAGCTTTTAAATTTATTGGTGTGGATCTGGATGAGTTGTGAAGTTGAATATGTCTAAGAACTTTCTTAACAAACATAATTTACAACAAATTAAAGAGTTGCAATTTCCTTTACTGTCACTGGTCCTCAGCAGCAATATAATTTTTTGAGGGCAAAGAGATAAGCTAGAGCTGCTAGACTTTTTTCTTTCGAAGAAAAGCATTGGTTTTACTCCATAATGTTGGAGCTTATCCTCAAATGCAGTAATAACTAGATTTTGCTTGAATGCCTGAGTTTCAAGCATTGTGTAGCTTTAAGCATAATGCAAATATGAATGGTACCAAGAGTAACCCCTCTGCTGTACTCCCAGAGCTTCAGGACAAGTGGCAAGGAAGTACTTATGCTTCCTAGGCTTAAAATAGTTGTAATGATGTGGAGATAAAGCAGCATTCTGCCTTCAGATAGTAACATCACTAACGAAACCTATAACATATATAAATATAAATTCTTCTATAAATTTTATTGAAATAGCTAATACTACTAGGCTATAAATCATTTTTAAGACCCAAAATTGGTTTTGTAGATGTGCCTCATTTTGTTTTAGGTATAGTTTTGAAGGATTAATGTGCAAAAAGAAACAGCAAAGTAACTATTTTTTTACCTTTTTTTTTTTTTTTTTT